TTTATTTATTTTTGGGACAGAGAGAGACAGAGCATGAACAGGGGAGGGGCAGAGAGAGAGGGAGACACAGAATCGGAAACAGGCTCCAGGCTCTGAGCCATCAGCCCAGAGCCTGACGTGGGGCTCGAACTCACGGACCGCGAGATCGTGACCTGGCTGAAGTCGGACGCTTAACCGACTGCGCCACCCAGGCGCCCCAAAGCGGGCTCTTATTTTACGTGAAGTAGGGCTCGTGCTCACCAAATTGGGGCCTGGATTCACCCAAAGCAGGGCTCAAGCTTACCCGATGTGGGACTCGAACTCACGAACCATGAAATCATGACCTGAGCCGAAATCAGATGCTTAATGGCTGAGCCATCCAGGTGCCCTCCATAGAATTTTTTTTAAGGTTTTATATATTTAAGTAACCTATACCCAACATGGGGCTCCAACTCAAGGACCCTAAGATCAAGAGTCACATGCTCTACCAACAAAGGCAGCCAAGCGCCCCCCCCAATAGAATTTTCTTATTTGGACCTTCAGCACTCTATAATATAGGTTGAACTGGCCTCCTTTTTTGCTGCTTTTATAGATGAGGAGCCTAAGACACGTGGCTTTTTCTAACCCGGATCACTCAACTGGTTAGTATTTCAGCTGAGCTTGATCTAGACCCAGGGTCTCCTGATTGCTGATTTGGTCAGCTGCTTTTTCAGTGTACCATCCTGCCTCTTTCCTTTTATCAGTAGCCCTCAAGGAATCCTGAGTTGGTGCTAAACATCCTAAAAATCTGAATTATTTGTGTTTCCTAGACCTTGAACAAATCTACTTCTAAGAGGAGATGGATTGTATTATGGTCATCATACCAATGCCTCACTGATTAAACCTATACTGAGTTCCAAATTCAATAGAAACTGATGCAGGTTTTACTTTGAGAGGCACAAAAAGCTCTCCAACATCACGTATTGATGTAGCTATGAGTGATGAATACCATTGCTTCAATAATAAAAATAAAAGTTTGATTACAAAGGAGCTAATAACCCTGTTAACAGTTTTCTTCTACATAACCATGTTTTACGTGGAACTTGGCTTTAAAGAAAAGAGTTTTGGGCTCCTGGGTGGCTCAGTCGGCTAAGCGTCTGACTCTTGATTTCAGTTCAGATCATAATCTCACTGTTCATGAGTTTGAATCCCACATCAGCCTCTGCCCTGACAGCACAGATCCTGTTTGGGATTGTCTCCCTCTCTCTCTGCTCCTCCCCCACCCCCGCTTACTCCTGCGCTCTCAAAATAAACTTTAAAAAAAAAAAAAAGTTTCTTCCGTAAGGATATAGAAGTTAGACTTTATGTTAATGGCATTAACATAGAGATGAATAATATAAGATTTTTTTAGCTGTAAATTATTTTTTTAAATCTCTAATTTATGTATTCAACAACTTCATTAGAAGATATAAGACTCCAAGTCATTCTTATTCCCTCCTGTTACTGTCCTTTCTTTATTTCTCTCTCTACCTTCTTTTCAAGTTAGAAAATAATTAAGGTAAGTTAGAAAATAATCTTCCTGTCAGCCTGCCTCCATTCCAGTGATGGGCATGTAAATGTAATTCTCATCACTGGGATGGGGGTGGGGGGTGGGCTTCTTTCTGAGTGAGTGACATTTCTTATCTTCCTAGGGCCTAATCAAGCATCATGTGCCATCAATGGCATCAAAACCTTTTGAGTACCCCCAGTGGCATCAAAACTTTCCTGTTGTTCTACTGCCCTAATTGCTTCTGTACTTTTGCTTCACTTCAGCCACACCATGTTACCGTATGTGCCTCTTCCAGGCATGGAAGCTACTTATAACACCAATGGCAGTCAGATGAGGTAAGCCTGCAGCAGTGCCTGGAACATAAGGGCTTGCAGTGTGTGTGCGTGTGTGTGTGTGTGTGTGTGTGTGTGTGTGTGTGTGTGTGTGTGTGAGAGAGAGAGAGAGAGAGAGAGGAAAGTGAATGTGCAAGCGAGCACAGCACCTGAGAGAGCACACTAGCTGATGGCATGGGTCTGGTGTAACATGATTCTGATGTCTTGTTCTCCTAAACCTGGTCCAGGATTCAGGCATGTTTTATAAGTATTAACTAAGAATATGTAATCAATACTAGCTAGAAAAAAAAAGACAAACTAGTCAGCTCATTGTACTACAAGTTGCCTCTCAAGCTACTGCTTAATCATGCAACCAACTTCATTGTCTGGATGGGATTGATTTCATCTGAGCACAGTTCATTGTTCAGTTCACTAAATGTCTTTTTCTTCCAAAAAGTCTGTCCTTTTATATTTTTCCTTATAAAACTGCTCCATACCAATGAAATTGATTGCATTCTTGGAAGTTTTTACATATGTAGACATAGGAGGTGTCCAGAAGGAACTAGAAAACAGGTTGACTGGAAATGTCATTGCTGAAAGAGGGAAGATCTTCAACCTTAGTCTGATGTTAAGAAGTTGAATGTGCCAAGGTAGAAAGTGAAACCCACCTCATATTTTCTTCTCTGTTTTTCTGTCCATGGTGCTAGACTAGAGCCTCCGTTCCCTGCCTTGGTACCAAAGTCTTGCTTAGTAACAGACTCAGCTGTCACCAAGCTCCTGCTTTCAGCCTCCGAGTTCCCGGTTCCTGGATTTGATGAGCTAGATGATGTGGCAGCAGCATGCCCCCATCCACAGAGCAGCCCTCCAGAACAGAAGGAGGTAAATGTAAAGTGCTGGTGGAGTTGTGACTGCTACTGGGCATGTCCACTGAGGACTACAGATCACATGATTGGTACACAGGCCTCTGAGTGTCTTTCCTCATCACCGTTAGCTTCAGCTGAGTGCTGAAGATTACCAAGGCAGGAGTTTTTCTCCTTAGCCACCAAAGCTACACTGGGTCTCTTAATCTGCATTGTTTTCCAGATCCTTTTTTCTTGATGATAACATTTAACAGGGTTTAGAGAGTGAGTTGGACCAACGAGGTGCTTCATGCATTCAAAGATGAGTGAACAATGATGTTCTTCAATTTTGCAAACTGTCTCTGTCTCCAGCAGTTGATAGACTTTCATATTGCTAATCTCAATATCTGAGCTGAATGGGTGATTCTCTTCCAATAGTATAAAGGGAGCGGTTGTTGAAAACACTGTTAGCGGGAGTAAGGGGAGCTTTGTCATAAACTACTTACTAGAGCCATCTATAAACTGAGGAAGTAAAATCTTGAGTGTCAAAAGAGACTTCATGTATTTTAAATGTCTTATAACTTGACCGTCTTTCTTCTTAACCCTTAAAAATAGGCCGAGCCAGAGAAGAGGCCAAAGAAAGTCTCACAGATTCGTATCCGGAAAACCATTCCTAAACCAGACCCTAATCTTACCCCCATGGGCCTTCCTCGACCCAAAAGGTGAGTTCCTTCTCTAATACACATAGGTTCACATTTTTGGAAAATTGTTTGGCACAATATAATGAGCTTTTAAATAATTATATACTCTGAGCTATTTATCATACTTCTAGGAAGTTATCCAAAAGAATTAATTGGTAATGTGGCCATAGGTTTATGTGCCAGGGATTTTGTAATGCATTCTTAATCATTTTTATCAAGCTCACTATGCCAGATATTATGCTGTCCCTTTGCATACATAGTCTGGTCATCCCCCCGTGGTGTTGGGAGGTAAGCACTATTGTCACCCCCACGTTTTGATGAGGGTGCTGAGGCTGAGTGGTTATGACACCTGTGTTAGGCCATGTATCAGTCATGGCACAGGTGGTTTCCGTCTCACACAGGTTTTACCTGACCCCACAGCCCAAGCTCACAGCATTCTATATGCAAAGTTGAGGAGGGACCTAAAGGTCATGAGAGAAAGAAGTTAAATTCCTTTCTTTCTTTCTTTCTTTCTTTCTTTCTTTCTTCCTTCCTTCCTTCCTTCCTTCCTTCCTTCCTTCCTTCCTTCCTTCTTTCCTTTCCTTTCCTTTCCTTTCCTTTCCTTTCCTTTCCTTTCCTTTCCTTTTCTTTTCTTTTCTTTTCTTTTCTTTTCTTTTCTTTTCTTTTCTTTCAGAAAATGCCAAATCCATGCTATGGTCTATATCATGACCTTTAAAAACTTGGCTTCTAAAGATTTTTTTTTTTTAATTTTTTTAGTATTTGTTTATTTTTGACAGAGAGAGACAGAGCATGAGTGGGGGAGGGGCAGAGAGAGAGGGAGACACAGAATCCGAAGCAGGCTCCGGGCTCCAAGCTGTCAGCACAGAGTCCGACACGGGGCTCTAACTCACAGACCGCGAGATCATGACCTGAGCCGAAGTCGGACGCTCAACCGACTGAGCCACCCAGGCGCCCCAAGATTTATTTTTTATGACAGAGATAATTTGCTAATCCTATAAAGAGAAGTGGAAAGAAAAAATTACCAAATTATGTATTTGTTGTAATATGTACTATACAGACACACTATGAAATTATAAGTATTTTAAAAAGATCTCCAGAGTTATATTCTCTTGTGGTGGTTTTCACTCCATTTCTCATTGGCAAATGGAAGCCTAACACTGGTTCCTTAGTAACCCCAGGGTAAATTATTGAAATTTCCTGAGTGTCAAGAACACATCTGTAAAATGTGGGTAAGAATTCCCAACACTTAAGATTACTATGCAGTCCAATTGAGTAAAAAATGTGGGGGCACCTGACTGGCTCAGTTGGTAGAGCCTACAGCTCTTCAAGGGTTCAAGTTGAAGCCTCCCCATTGGGCATGGAGCCTACTTTTAAAAAGAAAAAGGAAAAAAATGTGTACTGGTACCTATTGTATTGCTTCACACAACACAAATGCAATAGTTACTGTTACTATGATCATAATTGACGTTCCACTTTTCCCAAGTGGTCTTGTCTTAATATATTTTTATCTCACACTGCTTTTATTGATCATCCTATCAAGTCTTTATAAGAGAAATGTTTAAAATATTTCAGATATCCTAGGTTGAATAGTACTTACTACTAGTGAATGAAATAGGATTCAGAATCAGATGTATTCTATCTTGCATGTATATGTAGATAGAAGTTCTAAAAAATCTTTTATGTATAAGTAAGTAGTTGGGAGTGGAGAAAGTTTTAATATAGTAATGACATTCAGTCCTTTGAACTTCTTTCAAGTAAGTGCCAAAAAATCACACAGTGATCTGTCACCAAATTATATTTAATGATTTATCACCTATTTTTTTGAAAGCGAAGGATTGAAAAGTGCTGATTTACATAGGTTCTGTTACCAGGCATTGAAGGAGCAAGTATCTCATTGTATGGGCAGTACACCAAAAAGATCTGACCAGTAAGTGTCAAATGCCTAGTAATTTGTATGTTGGTCTTTCACTTAGAGATAACTTTAATCTAATATAGTGAAAGGGGTTGAAAAAATAAGATTTTTAATAAACCTTTGCCTAAGATATCTTTTGATGAGCTATTCAGATACTCTTTTGTCAAAAAATCTTCAAGTTATAGATTTAATGCATTATATTTATCAAAAAACCTTGACATGTAACTTTTTTTCTTTTTCTTTCTTTCTTTTTTTAATATACTTGACACAATGAGAGCGCCTGGGTGGCTCTGTTGGTTAAGCATCTGATTCATGATTTCAGCTCAGGTCATGGTCTCGTGGTTCATGAGTTTGAGCCCTGAGTCAGGCTTCGCACTAGCAGTGTGGAGCCTGTTTGGGATTCTCTCTCCTCTCTCTGCTCCTGCCCCACTCACACTCTGTCTCTCAAAATAAATAAAAACTTTGGGGCGCCTGGGTGGCTCAGTCGGTTAAGCGGCCGACTTCAGCTCAGGTCATGATCTCACAGTCCGTGAGTTTGAGCCCCGCGTTGGGCTCTGTGCTGACAGCTCAGAGCCTGGAGCCTGTTTCAGATTCTGTGTCTCCCTCTCTCTCTGACCCTCCCCTGTTCATGCTCTGTCTCAAAAATAAATAAACGTTAAAAATAAATAAATAAATAAATAAATAAATAAATAAATACTTTTAAAATAGATATACTTGACACAATGTTACATTAGTTTCAGGTGTACAACATAGTGATTCAGTAGGTCTATACAATATATGGTGCTACCCACAAGTGTAGCTACCATCTGTCACAGTACAGTACTATTATACTTGATCTTAGCCAAAAGGCCGAGAAGCGATAGTACAGTACTATTATAATGCCATTACTGTATTCCCTGCGCTCTACCTTTTATCCTTGTGACTTATTCCATAACTGGAGGCCTGTATCTCCCACTCCCCTTCACCCATTTTCCACATCCCCCTACCCCTTGACATATTAACTTAATTGGCAAAAGCAGTTTTTGTTACTCAAGCCCATCTGCCAAATTATTCTTCCTAACTTTTGTTTTCCAACTCAGGTAAATGTGTTGATCTGCACCTTTAAGAAAACCATATAAATCATTGAGAAATAAACTATGGAACACATCTTACTCCTTATTATATGGAACACATCCTTATAACTTATTGTAAGGTAGATTTGTGAAAGCCATAAGTTAAAATTAAAATCATATGCAACAGGGGCGCCTGGGTGGCGCAGTCGGTTAAGCGTCCGACTTCAGCCAGGTCACGATCTCGCGGTCCGTGAGTTCGAGCCCCGCGTCAGGC